TCCATGCCTCAAGTGGGATTCGAACCCATGACCTAAGTGTTTGAGCAGGTGATGACAGTTCATGCCTTAAATAGTGCAGCCACTGTGATCGGCTCTAATATCAGTCACATCAAATATCCACAGTTTTTTCAGTCATTTTCCTCAGTTCAACAGTTAAACTTCCTGCTTTATATTCTGGAAGTCCCAGGTGCTATTACTGGCCCACACCGAGGTGTCTTGTTTTCTCCACTCTATACAAATGCTAGATCAGTACCAAAAAGAATACATGACCACCTTACCATACACAATCATCCGCAAACTGAACACTTTTATCAACTGAAGGTTAAGAGCAGATCCAAGAAGATGGAATTGCCGTTCCTAAAACTTCAGGTTTCTTCTTTGCCTGTAGAGCACTGAGGCAGTACACATGATCAAGAGCTGTGTGACGAAAACATGAACGTGTCGCACAAAGCAGATTCTGTGCCTCCTCCGCCTCTGTGTGGCGACTACGTGGCGCTTGCGAGTTTCGTGACAAGGCACCATCCAGATCCACTGAGATCTTCTCAAAGTAATGATGAGATTCGCGCACACCTTTTATAACCCTGTGGACAAAATTTGGCAAAATTGCACAAGCCAGAAGAGTAGTCCTACAAGCATCAGGATGGCTGACATGAAGTAACAGATTGAAAAAACTGAAGAGGATCATGACACAAGGCCATTCTGGTTCTTACTTCATGTGACAGCTTTACACTTTTATATGCAGAACTGACAGATAAATAGATCACAAAATGCTCATTCATAAGGAGCCCGATCCTTCGCCTTACAGAGAAGTCCAAAATTAAATCAGCTAGAAGTTATTTATTAAAAAAAAAAATTAAAGCTATCCCTGTACGAGGCCATGAAGGCTCATAGGGTTGTGACATGTTGAGGATCCCACATTATCTAGACAATCGGCTCAAAGATGGCAGTAAGGTTGTCAGTATTACGCACTGGCTGCACTTTACTCAGCAGGAAAATTATTTAATTCCTGGTACTCATTTCCGTTAGAGGCTGAGTAAACCCCATGACCTAGTGTGGCTGGAAGGATTAGGTCAACTGAAAAAATCCAATGACCTTATCGGGACTTGAACAGACGACCATTGGACATAATTCTATTTAAAATAGTTCAGTGACAGCATTACATATCCTTACCTGCTAACCATTCACGATCACTTTCCATCTCACTCAACTCTACAGAAGCTTCTTTCCCTCACTTCAATGTTTCCACATCAAAGGATTTGTCTTAACAACCAAACCTCTCCATTTATCTCTGTCTTCCCAATGCTTCTTCCCCTCAAATTCCTCCAAACTTTCTGTGTAACATCTTTTCTAACCTGTCACTCCTATCTTGGTCTTTATCTTGACATTTAGCTTTTATTTCCATGTTGAAAATCCTCTCTCGGATTATCTCGTCATTCATTTTTTCTAACAGGCCGACCACACCATTTTATTTGACACTGATTTCTTCTTCTCTGCTTCTTAAAATTCTCACCTTGGCTGCTGTTAGTCTGTTAATATTTCTCTTTGTGCATGCCCATGTTTCTGTTCCCTAAAACTGGATGGCTGATAGCGATATGGTGCAGCTACGACAGGCAGCGCAAGCAACAGTAAATTTTGAAGCTCATTTCAACAATCAACCTAACCATACAACCCCTGCAGTTAAATCAATGTTGTTATTTTATCATATAAATAATTCAATGACAGCATGTGGGATTTGTGGTGTACAAAGTGGAAATGGAGCATGTTTCCTCTAAGCACTTCAGCTTCCCCTTCCAATTCTCATTCCACTAACTGCTCCATATTCATTAATCTCCTATCCTCAACACCATATATTCTCTATACTGATGGCATTGTTAAATAACAAACTAAGACAAAAATTACTGCTACACCAAGATACTCAATAACATGACACACAGATTCCACTTAACATACCAAACATGATACACAGCCATAAACAGTGAATATCTATGTATTATGAAACATTTCCAAACCAGAATTCATGTCGAAGATTAATGTATTCTGAGATGCGGAGCCAGGCCGCCTGTAGATCGTTATCACCGATTTAGAGGAATTGGGTACCTCCATCTTTGGTACAAAAGAGTAAGAGTGCAACCCACCGCATCCCTGAAGTCAGTAATCTTCACTACCATGAGAACCTCAAATCTTGAAAAATTCTTACCCTTTAATGAACGACATGAGATTCTTTAGGATGGTTCGGGATGCTTGATCCAGGTAAATGGAATGAAACTTGTTCATTTCTTGAAGTGCATGGATTAATTTGTTAAGGCAGACCACAACATCTGCAACATCTCGGAAGTAACTGCTCAGGTCCCAGAGACTGTTAGTGAACTGACTGGCAACAAAACAGAGCACTGTTAATGCAAACAGATGTGTTCCATTGGAGTCAATATAGTATTTTCAAAAGCTGTTTCTTACTACTTTTCATAACTCACTGGTCTTAATGTTCATTCATTTGGGACAAAACACATTAATCAAAGTACAGAGATCATAACCCACAGAACCAGAAATTATTCTTCCTGTACTACATTAAATATTCATCACATCAAAAAACATTTTATCTAAAGGTGAAAATGTTAATGTGGCCCATATTTTAAACCATGCACTAACTTCTTGCAAGGGGCCGCACCATAGCTCAGGCGGTTAGTCGCTGGATTCCCAATGTGGCAGCCCGGGTTTGAGCCCGGGTCTGGTAATGTGGGATTCTTGGTGTACAAAGTGGCACTGGGGCAGGTTTTCTCCCAGTACTTCGGTTTCCCCTGCCAATCTTCATTCCACCAACTGCTACACAATCATCATTATCTATCATCTGGGACTGGTACAACAGGCGAGTAGTGGCCGCAGTACCAAGTGGACTCAGTCTCGCACCACTTAGAATAATAATAATAATAACTTCTTGCAACACAGACCATTTTTTAAAAAATCGAAATTTTGAGTTTCATGTAAAATACAGCTTACAATGACCTGATAACAGCTAAATGTAAAGCAACTGGTGTGCTTAATTAAACTCTATGCCATGTAGACTTATGAGGAAATGAAGGTACCACTCTATGCATTCTTAACCTCCTGAATAGATGAAGATGAGTGATCACCTCCATGCCCCAGCCACTTTGCTGCCCGTATGCACTGGGTAGGAGGCTAAATGGGTCCCAGAGTCAGTACAGATGCTAAGCAAAAAAGACAATCTCTTACCCTTCCTTGGAATCTAATCGCAATTCCTCAGTCATCCACCCCCACAGCCTAGTCACTATACTGACTGAGCTACCCCATCTCTTATATTGACTCTGTATGGGACAAAAGCAAATGGACATAACAAATTTTAATGTAATTTAGTGTGTATGAAATTTAATGAAAATCCATTCAGTAGTTTCAGATATGTAACTTCTTTATTAAAACCATCACAACACAACTATATCGAGGTCAGTGCCTGGTTTTGGCTCTGCTACATGTTTCGGCTATTAATAGCCATCATCGGGCAAATACATGGCTGACATATATACACCACTGAACTGCAGTATTAATAAAATTGGATACAATAATATTAATTATATCAAAATATTTGACGTAAAAATACAATAAAATAGATTATATAAAACAAAAGTTAAAGTATAAAACAGGAATAAAATTCTTCGATTGATGCTTTACATCACTGAGTCAGTCATTGGTTTTTGTGATTTTGTTTTGTTCCCATGGACTAATTAGAGTATTCTATATTTTGTGTATAAAAACTGTTACTGGAGGCTCGTGATGTAGATGTAGTAATATTAATGTTAATTATTTAGTCCGTGCCTCATCTTACAAAGTATTGTGCGTTCTATGGGGAATGTAAACGACGGTATGTAACATTTGAACAGATGGACATGACTGGATATGTTCCCTTCATGCATTTTGTGTCAATAATGCACAATGTTTACTGCAGTCATGATCTTATTAACCTCTTTGTTTCAGTGACCACATGTATCTGGTTTCTAACTTGCCGTGGTCATGCAGAATTCAGTAAAATTTTGCAGGCTTAGTGTAGAGGAACTTGGTCTCTGACATTAAGGGAGGAACATAGACTGAGGGTGTTTGACAACAGGGTTGCTGAGGAGAATATTTGGACCGAAGAGAGATGAAGTGATAGGAGGTTGGAGAAAATAGCATAATGAGGAGCTTCATAATTTGTACTCTTCTCCAAGTATAATCAGAATGATGAAGTCAAGGAGGATGAGGTGGGCAGTTCATGTAGCACGAATGGGGGAGATGAGGAATGTGTATAGGATATTGGTGGGAAAGCCAGACGGAAAGAGACCACAGGGAGGACCAAGGTGTAGGTGTGTGGACAATATTAGAATGGATCTTAGAGAGATAGGATGGGATGGTATGGATTGGATAGATCTGGCTCAGGATAGGGACCAGTGGTGGGCTTTTGTAAACACAGTAATGAACCTTCAGGTTCCATAAAATGCTGGGAAATTCTTGAGTAGCTGCAGAATTGGCGGCTCCTCCAGAAGGGCTCAGCTCCATGAGTAAGTAAGTAATTGTAGATACAGTCTTTATTATATGCTTTCCTAAATTTATCCATAAGCTTCTACCATTTTTAGGGAGTAATCTTAGCTATGCTGTCACATATTTTGTCCACAGTGGATTACAGAAAACAATTTTTAAATCCACTATTTGATTTTACCAATTTAATTGTGTATCCTTACAACCATGCAAGTCAAATGATCTTTTCTTAGTGAAGTCATTTCACAATCCTGTGAAGAAATGAATTTGGATGTAAATTTTGTGACAGTAGGAAAATGATTCCTTAGATAATGACAAGGAAAGTGAACATGCAGACATTGCCACAAATGATTCAGCACTGGGACGGACTCCAAATACACACACAATAGAGAAAATAATAATAAAGTCATTCTAAAGGAAGACTGCCCCATGCAATGTGTGGAAATTCTGCAGCTGTCTGGGCTACAGCGGTAGCCAGAGAAGGACTTATGTATTCTAACACTACTGTCCCAAACTGTCTGATCTATGACAATGAGAAAAGCATAATTATGAAAGGATGAACAATTATAACAGCATAACTGATTTTGGACTATACAAAAAAAGACTTTTCTTAACTGATTTTTTTCATACCTCAGCATTCTCTAGCAATATGATAATTTGAGAGATTTCATACAAACTTCAAAAATGGACAAAATAGAACGAATATGGCTTTAACAGCAACCATTAAGGATCAGACCCTGTTCAAAGGCAACAAAGTTATAAAGAATGCATAAACATTAATTTTGTGGTATAAAACACACATTTAAAAATCCTTCAGACACTTCTACCTCAAATAATCCATAATGATCAATACTTCCAAATACGCAGATTGGTATGTGTCATGTCAATCTCACCTCTCTTGTGCCACATAACTCTTTCCTACATCAATCATCAATCCACACATTTTTAAAACCTGTGAAGACAAAATAAAATACATTATAACACATGGAATAACTTCCCAGTACAGTGTCTATACAGTATTTGAGACCAAATTCTTATATTCTTAGAAGCTGCTGTAAAATTCCTACTGCAGAATCCATATATGAAATGCATATCTATATATTATTCGTCAGTATATGTCAACAACATAACAACCTGTGATGCTGCAAACTAGTATAGCTCTACCTACATGCCAAGCACGTGTGTGACAAGATACGTGCTCAGCACTGCAGTCAAATGTCAGCTCATGTTTAGCTTCTGGCGCTCATAAGAGTCTTCAAAGGTCCATAACTCCTTAATTACTGGGAAAAGGCAAAATGATTCTTCTCTGTTTTTAACTTGTAATGACCTCCTCTGGATGCAGTTTCAATACTGATGTTTTGGCACTCACCTCCTCCATATACGTAGTTGTTTCTGAATTTTGGGGGGTTTATTTACACAGTCTAAACGTAACACAAACTATTCGAATCTCCTCCATCCCATCAATATTTCATTAGCTCTAGCCTTAGCCATGCTCCTGCCTACTAACATAATGCAAATGGTTACTGTGCTCTAAAGAGATGTATGTATGCAAGAGTGAAATGTAACACTAACTCACTTATCTAAGGAAGTTACTGACAAACCTTGTCAAGTTTCCGTTCCAGCTGTTCAATATCGGCTTCTTGTGCTTCTAAAGTTGCACTGTAACAAAGGAAAATAGATCAACCATAAGTTGACAGCATGCTTTTCGCCAGTTATTTTATGATGATGTCAGTAGATAGATTATATAGCATCAAAAGGTAGAATGATTGATGACTGATAACTTTGAAAGGATCTGGAAGGAAGCGGTCATGACACAATCAAGATACTACCCAGCATCTGCTTGGAGCGACAGAGGTGAACCACACAAAACTTCAGTCTGGACAGCGAAGTAGCCGAGATTCCACCCCAACACCTCCCTAACACAATTCCAGAGAGTTACAGTAAACCAGCCTCCTTCATTTGTCTGTCAGACCACTGTGAGCCACTGATATGATCCTCAGGTTAAGGTTGATTGGTGCAAAGGATTTCGTACCGTGGCTAGTAGCAAGTCACTGAACAGTTCACAATTTTGTTACTTCCATTCACTGTTGGGTACCGAACCTCGAATCAGAACGCTGCTTCGCTTTAATACACGTATTTGTTCACTTAATAAATGTCTTGTCGACAGTGCTTTAGTCGTAAATATAACGTGTAACAGCGTAAATATGTTTAAGAGTTAAAAAATGCAGTCTTGTGGAAGGTGACGCCGTGTAGTTCTTAAGCGAATCGACATTTCGGAGGAACGTATCGCCTTCTTCTTCAGGGTAGAACATAGCGAAGAGGAACCAGCGTGAGCGGGTGCAACAGTTATTT